TCTTTAGTCTTTTGGGTGGAAAGTGAGAAGGCGTTTCTCATAATTATATGCAATGTCCTTGGAGTCTGAAGACTGAATAAACTTACTGGTTTGAAATTTGTTTGCATGTTTACATGATTACGTGAGAGAGTAAGTTTATGGTTATTGTACTATGACACGGTGGCATTTGGTGAAGTGGTTGGCAGATGTCAGGTTAATTCAGTGTGTATCTTGCTTGGAGAAATGAATATAGGGAGGGTTGGTGAAATGTTGATCTTTGCCGTCTGGTAAAAACACATAATTTCTGTAGACAAATACAGACAGATGGACAGACATACAGGCATACAGGCAGATGGAGAACCAGAGAGAGAGTTCTAGTGTGTTGATTTTGTAAGAAGTGTAAACAAGGTACCATCTTATCCGTATATTTGGGATTACACTTTCTTAGTAAAGTACATATTCTGTTACTTTATGTTGGGTTGAGTCCCGTCCGGGATTCGAACCCACACCCTCAGAGTTAGGCACCTAATCGCCAGCACACAAAGTCAGCCGTCGAACCCGCAACTTCCACCAATGTGACCACTACGTAAATGGCCTTGTGTAATCATGTACCATCTGTTACGATGAATCTTACATGATACATACTTGCAGTCAAATTACAACACTGGTCCCAATGTGACAATTTGTACAAATATTTTAAATATTTGATACTGATGACACATAATTAGTTGAAACAAGTTTGCAGAATTCTGTCCAGTGAATGCTAAGTTCATATTCCAAGTTGCACTAACGAGTTCAGTTCATGACGTTCAGTCAGTTCTCTTCGAAATTGATCTAATTTTGTGCATTTCATCCAGTTGGAGTTACTGTAGTTTTTATTTCCTTTGTTTTGATTCAAAGTTATGGTGTCATAATCCATTCATCTGATGGACGTGCCGTTTCCAGTTAACTTTCGCCTATCAAAAAATTGGATCAAATTCTTAAACATAAAAACTGCATATAATGTTTCACCAATGGCAATTCTTTTTTATCTTTTTCATTATTGATCCAACTGGCTGGAGTTAAACACAACAGTTATTAAGTGTAATAAAAATGTTATGAGTTTTCTGTATTTCTCCAGCTTTGATGATTCAGGGAAATAAAACAACACAATCAGACAAAATCAGGCCAATTACAGTGACAATTAACTTTTCGCTAATTATGGATCAAGTGTTATGTGAATCTCATGCCCCTGCAGTCAAGGCTAATGCTTGCTTTGTGAAAAAATGTCATTTCGATAGAAACGAGAAACTCCAAATATATTGAAAAGGAGCCCCAGTGAGATCAGAGTGGGTTTGGTTTTACGCCGCTTTTAGCAACATTACAGCAATATCACTGTGGGGAGCACCAGAAATGGGCTTCACACATTGTACCAATGTGGGGAATCGAACCCGGGTGTTCAGAATGACAAGTGAACGCTTCAACCACTAGGCTACCCCACCGCCCCCAGTAAGATCAGAACCTGAACATGTGGAAAGTTTCAGCTCGGGCAGTGGGTAGCCTAGTGGTCTAAGCGTTCGCTCGTTACGCCGAAGACCTGGGTTCGTTTCCCAATATGGGTACCATGTGTGAAGCCCATTTCTGGTGTCCCCACCGTAATATTGCTGGAATATTGCTAAAAGCGGCATAAAACCACACTCACTCATTCACTCTTTCAGGGATCTGAAAGTTACAGTAAGGGTCAGATGGAAGGGGAAATAATATGGTTCACGAACTGTGAGATGGCATTTCAGCCCTTTTCTGTAGTTAAGAAGGGAATTAATCAGGCATATACACATGCAATTTCATATATTTTTCCCCAACGTAATTATGACCCAAAAACTTCCAACTGTACGAAAATATGAAACAAGCTTAACTACTTTTTTTATTTTGTGTATTTTGTCAGCTCCATTTGATTAGGATACAAACTGAACTGTTAAAGTTACTGATCATGAATATTTTAATTTGTGTTTAATGAGATAGTTTTCTGTCTTTGCTACTAATAAAAAGCCTCACAATTTGTCATCATTAAATGTTTTGTTCAGTTATGCATCCAAACTGTAAAATATATAAGTATGGTCCAAATATTCATTTGTTAATGTGATGTTTTATATTCAATTTTAATTTGACATTCTGTAGAAGTCCCAGTTGAATAATTTGTGTGATACAATTAGCTGCCAATCTATGCCTGATGCCTTGCTAGGGGAGGGTTGTTGGTGCAGGACGTGCAAGGCATCTGCACTCCTTCAGTGTCAAGCCCCCCTTCATTTCAACAATTGATTTTCATAATCAGACATTGTGTCCAGTCTGTGGGGTTGAATTGACAGGCATCACGTCACGGTCATTTCCAGGCTAGCTGTTCAGGATGGTTGTCTGGGTATTTGTAATTTGTGTTGATATTGTGTATGTTTGTGTCTGTTTTGTGTCAGTGTTTGGGGTATTTTTTTAAAAAAGATTTCATGTATGTATAGCTCCTTGTCTATTAACGAAGAGTGTGTTTGTTTTGAGTAGTTTATGATATTCATATCTTGAAAATGTGACCAATGACGGTTTATATATTTGTCAACTTCTAGAATGCAAACTGGCACTTAAACTTTCAGCTTTGGTCGTTTTTAAATGTTATAACTATCATAAGGGCAAAGTGTAAATTTCAGGCTTTAAGCTTTGTTATTATATGCATGCTAATGATTTGGGTTAGGTTGCATTTCCAGTTTTGCTTTGTAGACATTTTATTGATGGGTTCCAATGTGAGGAGGAACAGTCAGTTTGATTTCGGTATTAGTGACTTCTGTATTGAGAAAATGTGGCTTTATGCTCTTTGCAATATTTCAAAAATCCTAATTCACCCTTGTTTCTCGGTTTCCTAGCACCATGCTCCAGTTCATGTGTTTCACTAAAGTGCTAAATGTCTTATACCTGCATCTCTTTGGGCTTCCTTCCCACATTAGGCACGGTGGGGTAGCCTAGTGGTTAAAGTGTTCGCTCGTCATGCCAAAGACCCAGGTTTGATTCCCCACATGGGTACAATGTGTGAAGCCCATTTCTGGTGTCTCTCGCCGTGATGTTGCTGGAATATTGCTAAAAGCGGCGTAAAACCAAACTCAGTCAGTCAGTCAGTCTTTGGGCTTCCTTCCCACATTAGGCGCAATCGGGTAGCCTAGTGGTTAAAGTGTTCGCTCGTCATGCCAAAGACCCAGGTTTGATTCCCCACATGGGTACAATGTGTTAAGCCCATTTCTGGTGTCCCCTGCCGTGACATTGTTGGAGTTTTGCAAAAAGTGGCGTAAAACTAAACTCACTCACTTATCACTGGTGATGTAACTGGAATACTATTTAAAGCAGATTTAAACCCAACTCACTCACTCACTCTCAGCTCATGCATTGCTTTACAGTGTCGGAATCATCTCTCATACTGTCCGTCATGCGACCATATTTCACTGTTGTGTTTCTCCCATTCCTCAATATAGGGGGAAAGAATTGATTTTCTACATTTGGTACTTGGCTCAGCCTCAATTCTCTATCTACTGTGTAGATGGGTGGTCTGTTTCATGGAAATGATTCTTGATGGGTCGTTAATTTGCTTCCGGGATGAAGGCTGATCTAGATCTTCCCAGGATGGCCTCCATGGTACATGCATTTACTTCTTGAAGTCTTCCTATGTTATTGCAGGTAACCTTCATTAATGTCACGACGACCTTGTGGTCAATTTGTCTGCTGGAAACGGTCATCCTTTACAAATGTTTAAACAGTGGTTTCTGTTTTTATAAGTTTCAGCTTGTGGTGTTTTATCTGTCATCTTCTGGTATATACATGAGACCATTTGGAGACAACCTTTTTGCCGATGGCTTTGATACATATTCATTTTGCATCCTGTTCGGGTTACTGTGACTTGGGCACCTGACCCAGCCTTAGTGCAAGGTTCAGTGAATACATGTATAACACTGGTGTCGGTTCACTCAAAGACAGCATGGGATATGGCAAATCATAGCTGAATAGGACATGCTTATTATTGAGTAAAATAGAATATTGAAAATCTTGATGTGAGCCAGCTCCCATGGGGATTCGGGCAGTGGGGTAGTGTAGTGGTTAAAGTGCTGCTCGTCGTCACCCGAAGGCCTGGGTTCAATTCCCCACATGGGTACAATGTGTGAAGCCCACATCTGGTGTCTCCCACAGTTATATTGCTGGAATATTGCTAAAAGTGGCCTAAAAATAAACTCACTATGATATTTAAAATAATATGTCCGCAATAGCAAAGAGCTTTTTTAAGTTATGACTGGTAGTTGGAATAATAGATACTGCTTAAACGTACTCACCCATGGAGATTCTGGGTAAGAATACAACATGCTTGTCAACTATCGTGATAAGAGGGAAGTGTGTATCCATAGTTCCCCCTGCTTGTCTTCTGGTCAGTCTGGGGAAATACTGGCTTTGGAACTTTATGAATGGTTGATGAATGATGTGTCAGGTTACGGTGGATGACACTGAGAGCCATGAAAAAGACGAAGAACTGTCTTGCCACAGTTGAATGTACTTTGCCACAGTTGAATGTACTTTGCCACAGTTGAATGTACTTTTCGTTGTGTTAGGAAGGTATGGTCCTGTTTTTCTGTTTGTTGATTACCTTCAATATCATGTGCTGCTGTGTGCTTGCTGTTAGAAATAATCACTCTAATTTGGTTATAATGGTGAACATCTGTTGAAAAAACGGTCTCCAGCAAAGCATGCATGTAGTATGAGATGACAAGGGGGAACTGGTGTTCAGGCTTCATGACGTGGTTCATGCATGTAGTATGAGATGACAAGGGGGATCTGGTGTTCAGGCTTCATGATGTGGTTCATGCATGTCATTGTATCACAATCACTACTGTTGTCAGTTTCCCATGATGTCAATCTCAGGATTGTCTGGTCCAGTCTATTATTTACAGCTGAAATATTGATGTGTGCTATGTTAAACAACAACTCTGTGCCCTGAGTTTTGACTCCGCTCTGTCTTGTTGCAGGCTAAGTCTGAGGATGAAGTCAACACTGAAAAGGCCTGGATGGATACAGAGAAGGTGTGGCTGGTCCACAAGGGCGGATTCGCAGCCTCGCACCTCCTCAAGGCAGATCCAGGGTCACTTCCTGAAGGCAAGGTCAAGGTCAAGGTTGAAAGTTCGGGAGATGTGTTGGAAGTGGATGAGGATGATGTTGAAAAGGTAAGTTAAAGGCTGAATGTGATCTCACACAGGTGACCCTGTGGTTTAAGTTAATACAACTTGCCGTGTTTGGATACAGTTGTGGTTCTAATCTCATCATCACTTGAAGTAACATTGTTTTTGTTTTTGGCTTCATAGGAAGTCTTGTTGATTTTCAATTTCAGTTGTAACAGTATTTCATCCACATTTTGTCATGAGAGCAGAGAAGGGGCGGTGGGGTAGCCTAGTGGTTCAAGTGCCGCTCGTCACGCTGAAAACCTGGGTTTGATTCCACACATGGGTATTCCCCGTCGTGACATTGTTTGAATTTTGCAAATAGCGGTGTAAAACCCAACTCACTCACTCACTCACTCTGATCAGAGAATAATTTGTGAAAATTCTGTTGGTTTCAGGCAAACCCCCCTCAGTTTGACCGAGCCGAAGACCTGGCATCACTTCGTTACCTGAACGAGTCAAGTGCCCTGCACACCTTGAGACAGAGATATGCTGGGAACCTCATCCACACCTACGGCGGCCCCTCCCTCATCCTCCTCAACCCCATGCAGCAGCTGCCTCTGTATTCAGACAAGGTAGGTCAGGACAACATCGGTGCCTTAGGCCAAATAAAAAAAAATGTCGTTCTGATTACAGCTCTTTTGAATTAGGGTAGGTAAGTAGGATTTTTTTTTTTACATTTCTTTTAGAGTACAAACCAATAACACAGTTATCAATGTTTAATCGTTTATTTAAACAAGATTGCAGCCATCATGTCGACTGAAAAAACCCCAATGGTATCTGAATGTTTATTTTATTCATACTGCTTAAAAAAACATAGGGTCGGCACCAGAATTCAAGGGTAATTGGAACCACAACATCTTCTTTTTAGGCCTTAGTGTCCAGAACTTAGTGTCTAACCAAGCTGGGTTAGAATTGATCTCCAGCGACGTGTTCTTGTATATGTTTTCTAATGCTACAACAGTGACCCTTTAGGATCACCCTGAATTTTGAACAGCTGTACAAGCCTCATCATTCAGATGGCTTACAGTGTAAAATGATGTATTCATATTTACAGACCGCCCGCCATATAGCGACTGCCATCTCTTAATAATTTTGTTCCAATCTCAGGTTTGTTGTTCATTTCCTTTCTGTTTGATTGACATTTTAGAAGTTGATGAATAATAAGAAAAGTATGCTACTTTATGGATGACAACTTCTTTAACATTGATGTTGCTGGAATAGCTGTAAAACCAAACTCAGCGGCAGGGGATATAGTATTAGGCTCCGCATCCGTCTGTCCGCATCCGTCCGTCTCGTCACAATTGGAATATCTTAAGAACCGTTCACTAGATTCTTTTCATAATTAGTACCTAGGTTCATCACAGTATACGAAAGGTCCAAGTCAGGTTTGGTGACCTTGACCTTAATTTCAAGGTCACAAGGGGACTTTAACGTTTTACCTGCATGTTAAGCTATCTCAAGAACCGTTAACTGGATTTTCTTCATATTCAATACAAAGCTTTATCTAGGGAAGGCGCAGGGCCCAGTCGATTTTGGTGACCTTCACATAATTTTCAAGGTCATGGCAACACTTTGAAGATTTCAGCATGTAAACCTGCATGTTAAGCTATCTCAAGAACCGTTCACTGGATTTTCTTCATATTCAATACAAAGCTTTATCTAGGGAAGGCGCAGGGCCCAGTCGATTTTGGTGACCTTCACATAATGTTCAAGGTCATGGCGACACTTTGATGATTTCAGCATGTAAACCTGCATGTTAAGCTATCTCAAGAACCATTCACTGGATTTTCTTCATGTTTGAAACCAATCTTTATCTAGGGAAGGCGCAGGGCCCAGTTGATGTTGGTGACCTTCACTTAATTTTCAAGGTCACAGAGACACTTTGAAGATTTCAGCATGTAAACCTGCATGTTAAGCTATCTCAAGAACCGTTCACTGGATTTTCTTCATATTCAATACAAAGCTTTATCTAGGGAAGGCGCAGGGCCCAGTCAATTTTGGTGACTTTTTCACTTAATTTTCAAGGTCACAGAGACACTTTGAAGATTTGAGCATGTTAACCTGAATTGTCAGCAAGATATTTCAAAAACAGTTCACTGGATCTTCTTCAAAGACTTTCAAGACTTCCCTTAAATGTTTTTCAAAAGCATTTTCTTTAGTACTATTATTGCATATTTCATACACTATGACATTCATGTCAAAGTCGGTCTTGAAAATATGTGTTTGAACACCTAAAGAGCAAGATATCAAGAGAGGTTGACTGGTCATGTTTTTGTTAACATTTAACTTAAACTTTCATTACTTTATAAGTTTGATTTGATAATTTGCGGTGGCGGATTATGTCACCTTAGTGACAATGCTTGTTATATTATGATGCGATGTTTCGATGTAGATTCTTTTGCCGTTGTCATTCATAAAGTATCATGTATTTCTTATCATTTCCTTTTGCTATTTATTGACATTCATAGTATATTTATTATGCATTCAGCAGGTTTATGATATTTAATTTCCCTCATGGGCATAATGTGTGAAGCCTGTTTCTAGTGTCCCCTGCTGTGATATTGCTGGAATATTGCTAAAATCGGCGTAAAAATAAACTCACTATGTTGTTTAAAATAATATGTTCGTAACAGCAAATGAGCTTTTTTTGACATTTCAGTTATACCCGGTAGTTGGAATAATAAATACTGCTTTCCTTTTTGTCAATCAAAGTTAATTATTTGGCAAGTGGCATGTTCATAAACTAATTATATTAAAAATACCTGACCTAACCGTATATATATTGTCCGTCATGCAGGTAGTTCAGATGTTCAAGGGTTGTAAACAAGAGGACATGCCACCCCACGTGTTCTCCATGGCCCAGATCGCCTACCGGGAGATGTTGAGTTCTCGGAGGGACCAGTCCATCATCACCATGGGCCGCAGTGGCAGCGGGAAGACTATCAATGCCAAACATATCCTTCATTACCTCACCCTGACAGCAGGCAGCATCTACAACATCCTCAATGGTGAGTTTAACACTCTGGGCCTAATGGTGAGTTCATATCTCAGTGCTTAATGGTGAGTTCAGATCTCAGGGCCTAATGGTGAATTCTGCACTCAGGGTCTAATGGTGAGTTAAGCACTCGGGGCCTAATGGTGAGTTATGTAGTCAGGGCCTACTGGTGAGTGGGCCTAATGGTGAGTTCAGTACTCTGGGCCTAATGGTGAGTTCAGATCAGTGCAGTGAGTTCAGATGGGCCTTGTGGTAAGTTCTGCACTCAGGAGCCTAACAGTGAGTTAAGTGCTCTGGGCCTAATGGTGAGTTCTGCACTCAGGGCCTAGTGGTGAGTTCTGCAGTACAGTGAGTTAAGCACTCGGGCCTAATGGTGAGTTAAGTGCTCTGGGCCTAATGGTGAGTTAAGCACTTAGGACCTAGTGGTGAGTTCAGCACTCAGAGATTAATGGTGACTTCAATACTGTGAGCCAAATGGTGAGTTTAACAATCGTGGCCTAATGGTGAGTTTAGCGCTCAGGACCTAATGGTTTAGAGTGTTGGCTGTTTTATTCTGCATAGCTTGGATATATTTCCTTTTCCTTTTCTTTCTTTACTAAAACAATCGATTTCAAGTATAAACACCTATTTATAATATTCATAAACGTTATAATCGCAGTTCTGTTTACTAAGCAACAAAGACATGTACTATGCTATCTATTTGCAGTGGACAAATTGAATGCTATTAAACTTTATGCTTGAGTTGAGGATGCAAGATTTCATTGAACATTTAACATTTGAATAAATACCGTCTGTTTGCAGTGGACAAGTTGAATGCTATTAAACTTTATGCTTGAGTTGAGGATGCAAGATTTCATTGAACATTTAACATTTGAATAAATACCGTCTGTTTGCAGTGGACAAGTTGACTGCCATCATGTCACTGATGGAGTCTTTCGGGAACAGTCGCACACTGCTCAACACTAACGCCAGCCGCTACACACAGATCACTACGCTCGACTTCGACCACTCCGGACAGATCAACTCTGCATCCATACAGGTAGGAGATATTGTCCAGTTGGTGGGACGGTCAAGCGCAATGTTAGTTCCTCTGATTGGACAATTCTCGTGGTCAGCTTACAACTCAGGGATATTTATCTTTTGGTTTCTCTCCAAATTCCTCGAGACAAGGAACACTGAAACTGAGGGACAGATTTAGCAGACAAAGTAGATTAATTGAAGTCTTGAATGTGCTATGACTGCTGATAGGCCCCAGCTAACTCTGATACTTTCAAAGGGGGTTAGGATTTGTACAGTCTCAGGTGCTCAGTTGTGTCCCTTTGGCAGGCCAGAATCCAAAGATCATGGGTTCGAATTTTAGAATTGTCCTGACTATTGATTTGTCAGTACCTTTGTCATAGTCATTTGTTTGCTTTTTCACTAATTAACTGTGATAAATATAAAATACTGTTGGAAGTGACATTAACACAACTCACCCGTGAAGGTCCGGGTTAGAATGTATCTTCAGTAACCCATGCTTGTCATAAGAGGCGACTAATGGGATCGGGTGGTCAGGCTCGCTGACTTGGTTTACACATGTCATCGGTTCCCAATTGAGCAGATCGATGCTCATGCTGTTGATCACTGGATTGTCTGGTCCAGACTCGATTATTTACAGATCGCCACCATATAGCTGGAATATTGCTGAGTGCGGCGTAAATCTAAACTCACTCACTCATTAACACAACTCACTAATCCATCCTTCATCTAAGTATTTATCATGTGTGTCTTCAGGTGCTGATGTTTGAGAAGAACCGAATTGTGCGTCGACCGGAGGGGGAGCCAACATTCCACGTGTTCTACTACATGTTGGCAGGGGTAGAGGCACAGCTGAGGTGGGTGCCCATTGTCATGTCTTAGATTGTCATCATTTGCATAGGGGGCGTCCTAGTGGTTGGGGAGAGCGGAAGGTCGCGGGTTCGATCCCCGACCGCGTCATACCAAAAGACGTTAAAATATGGTACTTGTTGGTCCCTGCCTGGCGCTCAGCATTACTAGGTACAACAAGGACTGGTCGGCTTGAGTCAGTATAATGTGTCTGAGTGGGGTATTCATGCTTCACTGCAGCATGGTATCTCATTGGGCTAGCACTATAAAACCAGCTTCAGTCTGGGCTAGTACAAGCAACCACACCTACACATGCACACGCATGCACGTCATCATATGAGCGAAATATTCTCAAGCACGACGTTAAACCAAATTTCACCTCACCTCACCTAGTGGTTGGGGCTTCCATTCCTCATCTTCCAAAAGTGTTCGAATATTACAAAAAGCAGTGTAAAAATTATCCTATTAAAATCAACACGAGTAAGCCTCTTATCACTTGTAAAGACAACAATAGATGTAAACATATGGGTTACCACTGGTCTTCAGCAACCCATGGCGCTCTGCATGAATGGGTACAACAAGGATTGGTCGGCTCGGAGTCAGTATAATGTGTCGAAGTGGGGTATTCATGCTTCACTGCGGCATGGTATCTCAGTGGGCTAGCACTATAAAACCAGCTTAAGTCTGGGCTAGTACAAGCAGCCGCACCTACACATACACACGCCGTCATATGCAACCTATTTCACCTATTTCACCTCTCCTCACCATATCATGGTGACATCACAATAAATACAGAATGTCGACACGCCGAGATTCACAAAATGTCAAGCCAGATAGTGTGCCCGGTGTCATGTGATTAGAACAGCTAGAGTCACATGGGGTTTTGCTGATCGGAATAGGAACTATTACCCATCGTAATTATTCTCTTTACAGGAATGAACTTCAGCTTCAGGTGCTGAATGAACACAACCTATTCATGACTCCACTTCAGAAGGTAAGGAGTGATGATTAAGAGACCGTGACTACCACACTCTGGCACAGAGATGACTTAACATAACATCACTGCCACAGGCTAATTTGCATATCACGTGACCGGACTTTTCTTTTGTTTGTAATCAAACGCGCATATTCATAATAAGAAGAGACTGGACTCACGAGGGCTTCTCGGCGCTCTCTTCATAATGTTTTACATTGTTACATATATATTCTTCCACAACTGCGACAGTTAGGTCTATGACAGTACACATTTAGATATCAAACTGGCTGCATCGTTTGCTCTCCGTTGGCTTCGATGACAGCACGTGGAGCCTTACAACCTATGTAAACAAAGGATCGCTACGCAAATCAAAATAGTGTTACATGTTTTGGGATATTTTCTCAGTGAAACTAAACCATTCTATCAAACATGTTTAGTTAGATGTGTAGACTTGTCAAAAATAAAAGAGTAAAAGAAATCTGTACATTATATTGAATGGACATTGCAAGATGTGACGAATCGTCACATTTTTCTGGCCTGTGGCAGAGGTACTATGCTGGCTTGCCGCATGGAACTCTGGGTAGGAGAGACTACACTAAGTGTGGATTTAGGGAACTAATGATTGTCTGATTTGACAGGATTTTCGTAAATTTCCAGGCATGAATTCTGAATGTCTTTGTTGCCCAGATTACTAGATTTTGTTGCTTACAACCAGTCGGTGTTTAATTCCCTTGAATGGTTATGAGGCTTTTGAAATTGTATTGTGCAATCTTAGTTATCAAATTGGTTTTGGAAAGGGCTGTACTTATAAGAGGGTTTTGGGATAGCCTAGTGGTTAAAGCGTTTGCTCATCACACCGAAGATCCGGGTTTGATTCCCATTTCTGGTGTCCCCAGCTGTGATATTGCTGGAATATTGCTAAAAGCGGTGTAAAACCCAACTCACTCACTCACTGTAATATCAATCACTGGTTTGACTGGTTCAGTATCAATTATTTAAATTCTCAGATTATTATCAGGAAGACTGCATCAGCTTTCTATTACTGTAGACTGTTTCCTCATTTTCTTCGCATGCCGAAGATCCGGGTTAGATTCCCAACCTGGGTACAATGTGTGAAGCCCATTTCTGGTGTCCCCAGCTGTGACATTGCCAGAATATTGCAAAAGTGGCATAAAACCATACTCGATCACTCATTCATAAATATATACACTAACTTATATAGTTTATATATTGTGTTGGGTAATTGACCATCCTGATCCATTAAGCAGTTCGTATTTTCTTGTATTTATTTCTTGAATCAAGCTTGTTAATACTGTTTGAGGTGACATCTTGTTTACCTGGTGGAGATTCCAGGTTAGAATAGGTCCTCCGCATCCTCTACTGGTCATATGTGGTGACTGAACTGATGGTATATTTAGACTAGGCTTTGTTTTGTCACCATACCTCAGCCCTGAAAATCAGGCACCTTGTGAACAAGTATGTCTGCAGTAAAAGCAATCAAACTTCTAAATGCCCATAAAATCAATTGTCTGGACTAATCTCATGTAGGTATTTCTTCAGTTTTTGTTGTTTTTGTCTACAGCCTGACGACCGACAGAAGGCCAGCCTTCAGTGGGGGAAGGTCATCAACGCCCTCAAGGCCATCGGGGTCAGCGACGAGGAATCCAAGGCCATCTTCTCCGTGCTGGCAGCCATTTTCCATCTGGGAGTGGCAGGAGCAACAAAAGGTGAGAGAAACGGCACAGATTCTTGACACAGTGATGATTAGCGTTTCACAACGGCATAGGCTAGTATGCATATCACGTGACCCAACTTTTGTAGTGATCGTAAACATACAACCTCATTATTAATCTGTGTAGTCTGGACCGGAAGTCTTTCTGTGAGATTTACGTATTGCTTTGTGTATTCATTTACAACTATATTAGAGTGGAGTGTCTTTACGACTCAAATTGACACCACTGACAGGTATCTATAGGATTTCGCGTCTGCACCTGGAACCATACAATGATTGTAGATAAAGATTAATTTTTTATTATTTTTTCTCTGAAGAAGTTAACATTATTTTATGTTTATCAAAATGAGGAAACTTTTTAAAAATGAAATAGAGGAAAATGAATACCGTTTGTTGAAAGTAATGAGTAAGATGAGATGAATACTTGATTCAAATTGGTCAGCCAGAAGTCTACTGTCTGTGTATTTGTCTATCAAAAGGGCATCGTGATTTGGGCACCTATCCATTCAACTTTTACTGTCATTAAAATATGTTTAGAAGATGTTTTGTTTTACCAAATTCCCCAAAGAGAAACTAATCCGAAACATATTCCCCATTGCAGGAAGCAACAACAAGAGTCAGTTCAACAAGCCAGCAGCTGCTCAGAAGGCAGCGTCTCTGCTGGGCACCACGGTGGAGGAACTGGCCAGATCCATCTTCACCATGTCTGGTACCTCCACACTCACACGCAGCACCTCCATGAGGTAAGGGCAGACAACTCTCACATTCATCATTGGAAGTAATGCATTGTTTCAATTGTTCTTTGTAATGTTGTGGGCAGACAAAAGGTTTACTTATCTTTATAATTCAGCATGTACATCCTCCAATTAAATATGTTTATTTGTTGAAAATATTCACTGATTTAGGTGTCTGACAATTGCGTGTTTTACGGAGTCTTACAGATAGGACTCAGTAAGTTATTTTCGTGAAGGCAAATCATATTCATATCTTCTCATTTCCAAAATTTGTTGTTTCATTTATGCTACATCTATGAATAGATCCGCATTATTGTATATTTGTATTATTCCCATTTGAACAGAATCTGAGATAGGGGAGACAACTGCCCCTTGCCACCTTGCAAAATATGGTCACATTGAGTGTGCCTGTGGGCCGACTGTTTCTTCTTTTCCAAATATTTTATGTTCCTCTCTAAATCTGTCTGTTTATCAACTGTGTGTGGTGTTGCAGGGTTGGACCAGGGTCTGAGAAGTTAGGCAGTCTGAGTTCCGACTCTGGAGCTTCTCCTTTGGAACATCTGGAGGCCTTCGTTGTTGGACTATACTCAGATGTCTTCAATGCTGTTGTGTCTCTCATCAACAGGTAAGGGAAAGAATTGGCCTGTTTGTTGTTTTGTCTTTATTATATGTGTCTTTTTAGAAGCTCTAGTATCCATGAGCTACAAAGATCTACGAAGAGCCATGCTTCTCGTAAGAGGCGACAAACACGATATTGTGTGGTGTGGCAGCTGACTTGTTTAACTCATGTCATTGTAACCCACCCAGATAGCATTCGGACGTTGGTCCAACGTTGGCAATGTTAGCAAAACCATTGCCAACGTTGGGCCAACATCTGAATGCTATCTGGGCAATTGCATAGATTGATGCTCATGATGTTGATCACTGGATTGTCTGGTCAAGATTATTTACAGACCACCGCCATATAGCTGGAATATTGCTGAATGTGTCGTTAAACAACAAACAAACAAACAAACAAACTTTTCAACAAGAATGAGTGATGCTGGAGAACAGTTCTGTCCAAGCTAGACTAGGATATTAAACAACCATGAGCATCAAAGGAAACAGGAAGTAACATATAATGGGAAATGCAAAGAGAAGTGTAGACCACTAGTATATATGGCCAAATATGTAACTTTATTGTCCATATCACCACTCCACTGCAAAGCAATATCCATTTTAATAAGTGCATGAACCTGTGACCTTGTGAAGGAAACTGAACTCTCTCATGTGTTGCCAGATCTCTGTCTTCCAACGTACGGACACAGTTCTCCATCACGGTGCTGGATGCACCAGGATTCCAGAACCCCTCAACCTGTGGGAGGCAGAGTGGGGCGTCGTTCGAGGACCTCTGCAACAACTACACCCAAGAGAGACTGCAGCTGTTCTTCCACAACTTGTCCTTCACCCAGCAACAGGACAGATACGCTCAGGTATGAGAAAGTCAGTTTAGGAAGGTCATGGTCACTTGATAACCATAGCTAGTGGTATTCTGTTTGCAGTGCAACCGATGAATTGCATTCTAAACAAATAGGTAAATCGAATAAAGTAAAGTTAAGAATGAGAATCCTCATAATTTTACCTTGCCAATTGACATTCAAATCTCAGAATTTTATTCAACTTAGGGATAAAAGTTGTTTAACAAACAATCATAATTTCAAATCGCTATTATTGGTTTGTATTACAAAGGGTATGCACTTTAAATGAAACATCGAGAACAAGTAGGGTTGGTGTAAGTTAACACTCATCAACGCATCACATGCTCATGCATTTGTTTCACTGTTCCATCTACTGCGCCACTCTTGTAATTCAAACCAATGATAGCGATTTGAATCTGATCGCTTGTTAAACAACTTTATCCTAAGTTGAAAAGATTTCTGAGATTTAAATGTTCATTTGGCAAGTAAAAATTATGAGGATTCTCAATCTTAATTTCACTTTATTTGATTTACTTTTTGTTTAAAGTGAAAGGTCATGGTTTCACTGCAAACAGAGCTAGTGGTATGCTGTAATTTACCTGTGTAATATATAATACATACGCTTGATCTGAGGTTGAAGGTTGTGGGGTGTAACAAAGGATAGGATAGCTTGCTGCTTGCTGCTATTATCCAAAGAGATTTACACTGTTAACTTTCAAAAGGATGATTGTACTTACAGATACTATTTCCTTCACGCTAAGATCCTAAAAATATAGGTCGGGTGGGTAGCCTTGTGGTTAAAGCTCCGATCGTCACGGCGAAGGCCTAGCTTCCATATGTGGGGTACAATGTGTGAAGCCATTATTGGTGTCCCCTGCCTTGATATTGCTGAAATATTGCTAAGAACTCGCTCACTCACTGTCAACTTTCGAACTAATTACATTCAAACCTGAAAAAATTACTGGTGTTTTGTTTTAATAAATGTCTCCTTTATCAAATTTCTAAGTACTGATGGTGCTTATGTCTGTAATTACAGGAGATTTGTTATTTTGAATGTGATCATTATGTAAATGGTGCTGCTTTTATGATTTCAGGAAAACATTGACTGTGACTTTGAGTTTGTCACCAACAGCCCAGCAGCTCTCGTGTCCCTCATAGACAAGGCTCCACAACAGGGAACGGTGAGAACAGATAGGAAATTAACATGACTTTGGAAGCTTTTAGGAGTTATGTCCCTTGTTATGTATATTGGTATAGTTTGGCGAGACCCAAGTTCTGGTGAATTTGCAGTGTCACTCTTTGCTTTTGATAATTACAATATCAATGTGAGGAATTTGAAGATTCTGTGACATATAGTTCTTTTGGACCTCCGAGTTTGTGTTAACAGTTTTAGATCCATTTATCCATCTTTGGTGGTGGATTTATGTTGCAGTCTGCAGACTCTTTTTATTTCTGTGTTTCCAGGTACGCACTTCCACTCAAGACCTTCGGGATGCTGAGAAGAAAGGGTTGCTATGGATACTGGATGAGGAGGCCATCTTCCCTGGCGCCACGGAAGATAGCTTTATGGAACGTTTCTTCTCACAACATGGAGAGCAGCCAGTCAGACGTAAGTTTCATTTTTCCAAGCAGATCTGTTTCAGAATTGATCTGAAGACGCAGCTGCCAAAAACCTTGGTTATGGTTTTGAGTTCCAGATAGGCCTGGTTTTTGTATGTGCTGCAGTGAAACTGGGTGTTTACAGTACATGAAAACCCTAGGGTGCATCAAAGCCAATGTTCATAGTTTCAGTTCTCAGTCTTTTGAGGAATGGTTCCCATGCCATGATATTGCTGAGACCCGTGAAGGTCCGGGTTAGAATTGATCTTCAGTAACCCATGCTTGTCGTACGAGGTGATTAACGGGATCGAGTGGTCGGGCTCGCTGACTGGGTTGACACATGTGATCGTATCCCATTTGTGTAGATTGATGCTCATGCTGTTGATCACTGGTTCGTCTGGTCCATGCTCGATTATTTACAGACTGCCCCCATATAGCTGGAATATTGCTGAGTGTGGCGTTAAACAACAAACCAACCAATCCCATTGGCAGATATACACCCAAAGTACAATACAATGTTCATGGTTTCAGGTGACAGTCTGTTGAGGAAGGGTTCCCTTGGGCCGACATTCATCCTAAACCACTTTCAGGGCACCAACCCTGTACAGTACAACGCCAATGGCTGGCTCAAGGCTTGCAGAGACAGCCCCATCTCCAGGAACGCCACCGTCGTTCTACAGGACTCAAAGAAGTAAGGCTGGATATGAAACAACATATTCTGATTAATTAGTTTTGGTATATTTCAACATTTCATAATGTGTAATGTTTTCAGGGTCTGTATGTTTCTTTCTCATGTCTGTTTCAAATCCAAGATTTACCTTTAGTATGTTGTCCATAACACAATGCAAAACATGGAACTTGGTACGGAACTGAAACTAGTATTTGGCCTTAGCAGATATACACCCAAAGTACAATACAATGTTCATGGTTTCAGGTGACAGTCTGTTGAGGAAGGGTTCCCTTGGGCCGACATTCATCCTAAACCACTTTCAGGGCACCAACCCTGTACAGTACAACGCCAATGGCTGGCTCAAGGCTTGCAGAGACAGCCCCATCTCCAGGAACGCCACCGTCGTTCTACAGGACTCAAAGAAGTAAGGCTGGATATGAAACAACATATTCTGATTAATTAGTTTTGGTATATATCAACATTTCATAATGTGTAATGTTTTCAGGGTCTGTATGTTTCTTTCTCATGTCTGTTTCAAATCCAAGATTTACCTTTAGTATGTTGTCCATAACACAATGCAAAACATGGAACTTGGTACGGAACTGAAACTAGTATTTGGCCTTACCCTATAAGCAATTACCTGATAGATTTCTTCTTCGTAGAGGAGCGATGGGGTAGTCTAGTGGTTAAAGTCTTCCCTTGTCACGTGGAAGACCCAGGTTCAAGTCATTACATGGGTACAATGTGTGAAGTCCATTTTTGGTGTTTCTCTCTCTCTCTTCCCTCCTCCCCCAGTGATATTGCTGGAATATTGCTGCAGCGTAAAAACATACTCATTCACTCATCTTAAATAGAATCATATTTGATAATCATTAAAAACCTAGAAATATATGCAGATGTGTCTGTGTTGTAATCATTAGCTAAGCTCTGTTTCTACTGCATGTGTGTGGAGTCTGGGTCCAGAATGGACCCTTATAACTTTCCTGGATATATGAGGCAACTAAATGGCTTCGTGGTCAAACTCGGTGACTTTCTGATATCATGATATCATACGTACATGGTTTATTGTTCATATTATCAGTCACTAAGATCAGGTTAGAATCGGTCTTCAGTAACCCATGCTTGTTATAAAAGGTGACTGACGGGATCAGATGGTCAGGCTCGCTGACTTAGTTGACACATATCATCGTATCCCAATTGCTTAGATCAATGCTCATAATATTGATCACTGTTTTGTCTGATCCAGACTTGATTATTTACATACCACCGCCAAATAGCTTGAATATTGCTGAGTGTGGCGTTACACACCAACCAAACCAAGCCTAAATTGTTTGGTCTGGTATGTTGCTGAGTGTAGAGTTGAATAACAAACACATACCGGTACACTTAATGTTTGAAACGACATGTGAAGATCCGGGGTAGAATAGGTCTTCAGCAACCGATTCTTGTCTTAAAAGGCGACTATGCTTGTCGTAAAAGGCGACTAACGGGATCGGGTGGTCAGGCTCGCTGACTTGGTTGACAATTGCGCAGATCGATGCTCATGCTGTTGATCACTGGATTGTCTGGTCCAGACTTCGATTATTTACAGACCGCCGCCATATAGCTGGAATATTGCTGAGTGCAGTGTAAAACTAAACTCACTCACTCACTCACTAATGTTTGAAACTGATGACTGTTTCAGACACAACATGAGTACGCTGTTCACCAGCGTGAAGGCCCCCGTGGCCGGTGTTGTCAGCGGGTCCATCGTCGGGATGGAGGGAACTGCGTCGCTGAGACGGGTTGGCAGCATGAGGAGGACCTTCATGTCTGGCGCTGCTGGACTCAAGAAGAAGTCCATCTGTCTGCAGATGAAGTTCCAAGTGGTCAGTACTTACTCACATCATCACCACTCACTTTTTCTATCTTACACCATCACCACAGATATATATATGATTTAGAATGAAGTGGAGTATGGAGTAAATTTCTTTCAAATTTTGTAATATTTCTTCAAAATCTTTCTTTTCTTCCTATGTTCAAAGTTTCTCCTTATATTCTAAGTTATGTTAATATTGGATTCAATAATGTATGACCAACCATTTAATCAACTTGCCCTTTATTGATTGTGAACTCATTCTTGGTGTCCCCTGCCGTGATAGTACTGGAATATTGTTAAATGCGGCTTAAAACCCAACTCACTCTCTCTGTTATTGGTGCCTTCCAAGTCACATGACCAAACCATCATATTTGTTGTCCAGAAATCATCTGGAATGGGAAAATATGTAATTTTGGGAACTTTTACTGACATTTTTTGCATTAGGATTCCTGGTTAGAATTGGATCCTAACAATTTTTTCCTGGTCCAAAGTGATGACTAAGTCAAGTTGCTTGGCAGGTTCTGTGATTGTGTGCCATCATGACCTGATGGCATTTATTGATGCTCATCATATTGATCACTGGATTGTCTGGCCCTGCATTTATTATTAAGTCAATGCATATGGTTTGAATATTGCAGCTTTAAACAACAAACACATGTTCTGTTCTAGGATTCAGTGATGGAGACAGTCAGGAAGACGAAGTGTCACTTCCTGCACTGTATCGTACCACAACATTCCGCTGGCTTGTGTGAGCTCAAGTCGTCACTGTCAAACGCCACCAAACCGAACTCCCTGGATGAGATCCTACTGAATGTCCCACTCGTTCGAGCTCAGATCCGGGGCTTTGAGATCATCGATGCTGTCAGACTTTTCAGACAAGGTAAGAAAATCATCGCACTTAAATATATTTAGACTCTCAGTTGAATAGAAAGTTTCATGTATTTACCTGTTTGCTATTATCAATTGTTTAAGTAGGCAGTGGGGTAGCCTAGAGGTTAGAACTTTTTGCTCATCACACCGTAGACCCAGGTTTGATTCTCCACAAGGGTACAATGTGTAAAGCCCATTTCTGGTGTCCCCATTGTGATATAACTGGAATATTGCTAAAAGCGGTGTAAAACTAAACTCACTTCAAATCACTCTATTGCTTGAGTGAGGCAAAAGTGAATATCTGCTTTCAAAGAAATTTTGTTCAAGTTTATTTGGAACATCTAAATTGTGAACTGGATTCAGTCTATAGTCAAGGGGAGATAACTCATGACCGAAATCAGTCAATAGCCAAAAGGGAGATAACTCACGATTGCCGTTTTCTACTTTTGCAGGATTCCCAGATTATATGCAGTTTTCTGAGTTCAGACAGAAGTTTGAAGTGCTGGTTGCTCCCAATGCTCGCCCGGACAAGGACATGGATGAGAAGAAGGTAACTGAAGTTAGTCGACAGTCAGTATTGAAGGTCTGGGTGCCTTTGTACAAAACAACCTTAGTGCTAAGGCTACCTTAAGCCTCTGCTAAGGTATGGGAGTTACGGTCACCTTAGCGCTAAGACTGCTTTGTACAAAGGCACCCTGGTCACTGTTGATATCTAGTGACCTGGGGCCTGTTCCACAAAGCGATCGTAGCGCTAAGACTATGGTAACGCCCATGCTTTAACATAGACTTACGACAGTCGTAGCGCTACAATCGCTTTGAGAAACGGATCGTTTGGATGAATTATACTTGCTTACTGTGTGAGAGCTGTTTGTCGTCGGAAAAGTGGGATGGAAGTTCGGACCTCCAATACTGGATCTAACAGATAATTGTGGATCGGGTGGTCAGGCTTTAGTGTATTGTATGTCAGCATACTGGTATTGAATATCTGAAGCAGTTTTATTGGTTATTGAAGTTTTTAATTAGAATGCAGTGTGGATGTCTAATGGGATAACCAGAATACTGCTTGATGACAGCGTCACAAAAGATATGTCGTTAGAATTGCATGAACGCAGGTGATGAAAGATCCCCAGCACCTTATACTGTTCCTAGGAGATGACTAAAATAATTGGTGGTCAGACTTATCGACTGTCCTTTGTGTGTCATTCTATCCTAGTGCTATGGGACCCGTGAAGATCCGGGTTCGGGCTGATCTTCAGCAACCCATGCTTGTCGTAAGAGGCGGACTAACGGGATTGGGTGGTCAGGTTCGCTGACTTGGTTGACACATGTCATCGTATTCCAATTACGTAGATCGATGCTCATGCTGTTGATCACTGGATTGTCTGGTCCAAACTCGATTATTTACAGACTGCCGCCATATAGCTGGAATATTGCTGAGGGTGGCATAAAACCAAACACAGTCACTCACCAGTGCTATAGATCACTGCTAAAAATATCAGTCATTGGTTTGTCTGGTGCAGACTTGATTATTACCATGTTAAAGTTGCATTATTGTGAACAGTGGCTTTGAACAACAAACAATGAGACCAAAACATTTGGTGTGTTTAAGTGAAGATTTGTTGACTCTAGTTTATGTGTGTTGTTTATTTCAGGCCGTGCTACAGGTGATGGACAACCTGGATATTGACAAGCTGAGCTACAGGATCGGCCTGAGTCAGGTAAGTCAGCAGTCATGTCTTTCCATGTACTCGTAGTTATTTCAACCCCCTATAGATGGTTCACAGAACAAGGTGGCATTGTTTAAAGAGTTATCCCCCTTGTTTAGATTCAGAGACAGGTCTCCTGAACCACAAGGTCGGAGACAACGAATTGTGTGTCGTGTTACCAAACCCATGTTTACTGGCATGGCCTAGGTTATTAATTGTCACAACTTTCCTTGGTAATGCTAGATTACTGATTGTGGCATAAAACATTCATTCATTCATTCATTCATTCCTTTGACGTTTTTTTTTGTTAGGTCATGTTCACATTTAATTTAATGTCAGGATGATAAGATAGGTCTCAGTTTAATATGTTGACATTAGAATATGAGAGGTCTTTTATGATCAACATTTTAATGCATGAATATTTGTGCATTTATAGATTAGACACACTCAATAATTTACCAAATTCTAAATTATGCATATGCCTTCTAAAGGTCCCTTGTCCGGGTATAATAGAATTGGATCAAATGCATTATTTGTACATGTCGCACCAGATCATAGACAGCTGGGTCACTCTGACATTTATGACTCCGGTCATGTTGACATCTGATTATCTGCCCTTCTTTGGGATTTAAGGGCTAAAAAGGTTCCCAGTGACCCTTACTTTCTGGATTAAGGGAGCCTTATATGTGACCTGGGTAGCTGTGTAACAACATATCCCTCTTGTATGGATTGATACTCATACAACATACCCCTCTTGTATGGACCGCCTCCGTGGTGTTGTGGTTAGAGTGTCCGCCCGGAGAGCGGAAGGTCGTGGGTTCGATCCCCGACTGCGTCATACCAAAAGACGTTATAATATGGTACTTGTTGGTCCCTGCCTGGCGCTCGGCATTAATGGGTACATTAATCAAGGACTGGTTGGCTCGGAGTCAGTATCATGTGTCTGAGTGGGGTATTCATGCTTCACTGCGGCATGGTATTTCAGTGGGCTAGCACTATAAGACCAGCTTACGTCTGGGCTAGTACAAGCAGCCGCACATACACATACACACGCATGCACGTCGTCATATGAGCGAAATATTCTCAAGCACGACGTTAAACCCCATATCACCTCACCTCACCTCTTGTATGGATTGATACTCATACTATCAACCATCTGTTTATCTAGTCTGGACCTTGTACAAGCTGTTATGATATTTCCATAAAAAGAAACTCTCTCTTCTCAAAAAAAAATATCTTTCTTTTGAAATGCTCACAATCTTACTTCTAATAGTCAGATTAAAAACTGGAATTTACTTTAAGGGGAATGTTGAACAAGGTGCCGTTCCACAAAGTGCTCATTGTGGTTGTAAGATATTCATAACGCCCATATTTTATAACATGGGCTTCACACCGTTATGTGCCTTGCATACAAGAATATGTCTGTCAGCACATAGATATCAAGTCAGATATTGAGATATTATGCTCATGGAAATGATAAAAACCATTCGTTCCAAAATGGACCGCCTCCGTGGTGTAGTGGTTAGAGCGTCTGCCCGAGAGCGGAAGGTCGCGGGTTCGATCCCCGACCGCGTCATACCAAAAGACTTGGTACTTGTTGGTCCCTGCCTGGCGCTCAGCATTAATGGGTATAACAAGGACTGGTCGGCTCGGAGTCAGTATACTGTGTCTGAGTGGGGTATTCATGTTTCACTGTGGCATGTTATCTCAGTGGGCTAGCACTATAAAACCAGCTTAAGTCTGGGCTAGTACAAGCAGCCGCACATACACATACACACGCATGCACGTCATCATATGAGCGAAATATTCTCAAGCACAACGTGGGATGGTTTTGGTGCATGTCAGGTTGACCTTGGTAGGAATTTCATTCACTACGAAATGTGTTGCCAAGTGCATGTTTTCGATCTTCAACAAGTACAGAACACTCCACACATGTTATCAATTTAGTCGGGTTTGTATATTTGGAATAAAAACAGGATCTACGTTAGGTTATTTTATTTGAAGAAGTAATTACTTTAATCTCAAAATGCATTGCGGAAAATATCCTGGTTGAAATGGTGATTGCTAGCTGATTAAATCCACCTGTGTTTAGATCGCTATCATGGAATATGTTAGTTCCTGTTATTGTACCGTGAAACATTATCAAATTTGGTCAGTGAGTACCAGTGCCATGTTAGCAAGTTTCTCCCACTTTGCGAGGGGTGGTGGAGTAGCCTAGTGGTTAAAGTGTTCGCTTGTCACGCTGAAGACCCGGGTTCGATTCTCCATATGGGTACAATGTGTGAAGCCCATTTCTGGTGTCCCCCACCGTGATATTGCTGATTATTGCTAAAAGCGGCTTAAAACCATACTCACCGAATCAATTCTTCCACTTTGCTGGCTGAGTTTTCTTTCAAAAACGAAAAAGCGGCGTAAAACTAAAACTTACTCACACTAACTTAATCGCACACTTATGTTTAAACTTTGTACTGTATTGAAGGCACAGGCCAAAACCTATTGCTGAGAACACAATAGAAACGTGAGTAGATTTACAGTCTACTTGAGCATAACACTGGAAGCAGGAAGACCGATCCATCATCTTGTCCTATGCACCATGTTAACATTCATACACTACACAAATAAAACATGACGTTAAGTTCGTGCTAAAAATGTTGATTTATCAAGATAAAAACATAAATCGACTGGTCATTTGGCTGGTGTTTGAATGTAAATACACCACTCAAAGAAGTTCAAGAACACACATTTGGTTTGTGTTATTATAAATAGTATATACTGAAGGAAACAAATAAGGGAACACAACTTCATCACAGGGTTCCTTTGTTTTTTTTATAGATTTTCACCCACAGTGCAAACCAAAGCTTTATAAGAATCCTGGAAAAGAATAAAGGAACACTTGCATTTTCATGTGTTCCCTTATTTGTTTCCCTCAGTATATCATGGAATGGCAGATTCATTATACTTACATGAGAGAATTGGGTTTTCTTAAACATATTTAAAGGTTTTTATGTGTTAGTAGAGAAAAAAAATGCCATCCTAAAGCTATTTCTGCTGTTCACGGACTAGAGGTCCAGCAGATATGTCAACCTGAATTCTGTAGACAAGATCCCAGTTTACTTTCTATCTATCAAATTTCATGGTTTCCTTTTTTCCTGTCTTCTTTAAATATTTTGAAAGGTTCAGAAATGAGCAATTTTACTTTAACATATTTTGTTATGTATTCACAGGAATCTGAAGTTCTGATTTGATAATCAAGTTTTATGTCTTTTTTAACTTTAACCACAATGAATGACATGATCACAAAAAGGCGTGTGTTAAATACCAATAAAACAGTCAGGGTTTGTATTGTGTGATTTAGGCTAAGTGTGAATTTTGCTATGGAGAGAGGGTAGTTTGGAGAGAGAGAAGTAGAGGTTAGAACTGGGCCTAGATTTTCGAAGCTCTCTTATCGCTAAGATAGTCGTAAGTGTCGTAACATTAACCTACAATAGCTTAGCACTAAGAGAGCTTCGAAACTGTAGGCCCAGGTCTGCAGCAACCCATGCTTGTCGTAAGAGGCGACCAAAGGGATCAGGTGTTCAGCCTCGCTGACTTGGTTGACACATGTCATCATATCCCAGTGGTATGGATTGATCGATGCTCATGATGTTGATCACTGGATTGTCGGGTCCTGATTCGATTATTTACATACCACTGTCATATTGCTGGAATATTGCAGTGTACGGCGTTATTCATCAACCACATGGGATATTGCTGATTGTGCTGTCAAACAATTAAAAGACAAACATGGCTCGATTTAAGAGATGTTAACTTACTTGCACTGAGTGCAACCTAAGATAAAAACCTACTTGCACCAGCCCAATTCCAGTTGCACTGCTTTTATTGGAATATGTAATGAAAGAAATATGCTATGAATTATTTAGATGTTTTATTCAGAGGTTTACCCACTCAAAATTGACTTGCACCTGGTGCAAGTTAGACTAATAACAAGGTTGCACTTTGTAATATTAGGTTGCACCAGTGCAAGTATCAAAGCACTAAATCGAGCCCTGACAAAGTAATGGAGAGAAGGTAAATTAGAACTATGGTAATCTGGAGAGAGGGTGTTACTAAGAAAGACATAAATATTGTTTTTGCAGAAATATTCAGATTCCTGTGATATATTTAAATTTCGTTTAAGTATTTTTCTGATTTGATGTCTTCCATTGCATTTGGCAGAATGGACATACGTCACAAAGTTCTCTAGTAGGTATTCTGTTGTGTTGGTGATGTTTATTGGTGAAGTTTGTTGAACAATTTATTGTTCCTAAATCCAGATCCTGCTAACACAAGGTTTAGGTTAACCCCTGCACATTGTTGGATGGTTGTTGCTGACATTTTGGGTTGGACATTTACATAAAAAAAAATTACATTTCAGTGAATTTTGTCTCCTCATGTTTTTTTCGTTTTTTTTCAAGTTTTAATTTTGGTTTTATTTATTTGTTTTTAACTTTGCACAACAATGCCACTAATAAATATATTTCACTTTTATTCACAATTATTTTACTTTTTGCACTTACGTCCCATTTGGTTATTGCTCTTTTAGATTTAGGAGAAGCAATGTGAGTTTGATATTGTGTTGTAGTTGTATTATGATGACACTGTATGACTTAAATCATTATAATTTTATTATTACAATTTAATAATATAAGTGAAGGTAAGAATGAATTCATTTTTCTGTGTCGTCAGACAATAACCTTGACTTCTAGCAACCCTGGGACTGGGATTTTCCCAGAGATTGTGGCATGGGTGGTTGAGTCAGTGAAATGATTATATTTGTTTTACAGAGTTGTCTCCCTTTAGAGCGTCAGTATCCTATGATGGTTGGTTGAAGGTCATATTTGCACTTTTTAAGATTGTTGATTTATCATAAACCTGTTGTGAAGAGAACAAACACTACCTTATCCGTGACCAAGATTGGATTTTCAGCAAACGAATGTGCATTCTTTTAACTAGGACATGAGCTAGCTTTGGGG